ACGGCTGTCGTGGCCTATTTCACATCAATATACACATATATGGTTACGTGAATGTTGAGTCGGGGAAGTTGATAGTTGAATTCAGTTGTTATGTGAGCCCCGAGTTCGAATCTCAGTGCTAATTGAAATTGAAGGAGGGAGAGATTTTGTTTGGATCGTTCATATTATTATTATTATTATTATTATTATTGAGATTAAGAAAACCTGGAATTATACCTCCATTTCCCCATTCGTCTTCATGGCGTTGTTCTTAATTAATAAATCATAGGGTCAACTTTGCGTTTGGTCGAACCGTTTTCCTTGTATATTAATATCTGAACGAACTGCAGTTGGAGATCCATTAGTGAAGTAAGTAACAAAGGGTCCTTTTATTGGCTGTCGTCACTATCGAATGTGGCAGATATACGATTTATCAAATCATTGCTGCGCATTTAGGATGTCTATGTAAGCTGTTTATACGACTGTCATACACGTGTATGGCAGGAAGCGGACGGACAGTCACGGATTACTGATAAAGAAATAAAATGTTTACGTTCGAAGTAACTTACTTTTAGGGTGTATGTGATTTCACAGGTGCTCTACTTTCGAACGACTAGCATTAACATGTAACGTTTTTTGCTTAATATCGTTGCACTGTGCGAATGGAAGTGAAAAAGCCTGAAAATAATACTAAGTGCAGTTACATGACGCAGTAGAACAGGCGTCTCACCAACGATGTTCCGAGGCAAGCAGTGGTCAGGTGTGCATCCGTAGCACTTATCCCAAAGCCCCGTAATTTGCTCATGAACGCACTACAAGATTTTCTTATGTGAAATATAAAAATTGTTAGGTCTCCTTTTTTCAGTGTTCTTTTTATACCAAAATGTAACCGATTGTGAAGGCCGTCGTTATGAATATAAGTATCCAGTGCGTTAAAATATTGTATTTAAGTTATATAACTTTCCTACATACTCGTATACCTTGAAATGTGGCATTTCTCGTGTTGCTCATGTTGGCGATAAGTTACGCCATTATTGGGAAATGTGTGGCAAGTTAAAGAGAACAGAGTATACTGAAATGGAATTTTATAAACTAGTCGTAGTGTCAAAGTTTTTACACCTACAAGAAAATAATAAAACGGAGTTAAAAAAGAATGATAATGTAGCCTACAAAACAATATTCAGAAAAGTCAGTGGATAAACTAGACTGAATAGAATTAAAGAAAAATATAGGAAAGAATCCAAATCCTTTTTCTGTTACCTGGAAGGCCAGGTAATTGCGGACAGATTGGCTAACTCGCTCAACAGATTAACGCGTCACTGCAGGTCAGAAGGGTACCTGGACCTGGGGAGGTTGTGAAACAGATGACTATTTTTAAGGATATGCGTATATACAGTGAACATTATAATTTTTACCGTAATCGCAACAATATTTTATTATTTCCGTATTTATTTATGTAGCATGCACTACATGTTTCGACCTCAAATGGGTCATCTTCAGGTGCTGCAAGTATCTCACATTATATTACCTGCAATGCTGACATTCCCATTTCTATAAATGGTTCGTACTAGACAAAACTTAGACTAGACTTCGTTTAAAATTAACAATAAAATACAATAAAATAAGAATAAAAATCATACGTGTGATCGTAAAGTCATATATATGACAATAGGTTAAACATAGTTTAATAATTAGGCGACCCCAAATACACAATTTGATATTTAAAAATGATTTAAAAATTATCTTTCAAAATGTTATAAGCTGCCAGTAGCTTCGTGTCTGTTACTACAGTAGGCCACGCATAGGCTTCGTCAGATTTCTTTTACTGTTTGCTGCATTGGCTCGCCATGTTAGTATCGTAATGTTACAGTTTTCCTAGAGAATAGCTCCTTCTTTTTTCATGTTGTCGGGAGCCAATCTACAATCGTTTTTCACCGTATTAATAGTGATATGTTGTATAGTACGTTCTATATAAATAAATACATAATAAAGTATTGTTGCGTTGACTGTAAAAATTACATATGTTCATTAACAGATGGTTGTTATGCCGGAAGAGGCTTGTGCATAATCCGTGTGGGGCAAAGGCAATTTCATAGTTTTGAATCCCCTTGAGATGATCCTGCATATACAGTTCATGCTTTGTGAACTATGATACTATACTCGTATGTATCAGCATTCACAATAAATTTCCTTCTCGTATATAGACCTCTTTGTTTCAGCTTCTCTGCCTTTGTTTCTCGTTACATTCGGAATATTGTATTTCAGCCACATACCAGTGGGACATATAGGTCAAAAAGCGAACACAAGATCACGCAAGAGAACACCACTTCTGCTGTGATCAAACAACAACACTGTTTAATAGTACATACTACAATAAAACACTAATATTTTGATGTATACTTTTATATGTCGGCATTGAAGAAAAGACACTTCCGCGATGTTCTAGGAAAAAAATATGATTTAATAATACAATGAATTAAACTTGTTAATAATTTAAAACTATAATATTTTAGTGTTTTGCATATATTTTTATACGTTGACATTAACACTGACAAATAACACATATGACATCCCCCATTTGTAAACGTCGGCAGTGTAGGTGAAATAGCAGCAGAGGAACAGAGTGAGTGTAAATATTTTACCTGATGATGGTCATAAAGAGCCAGAACGTGCTATAAAATATTAAATAAAATTTATATACGAATTGTGATGACGGAACCAGTAACAAGTCTCGTTACATACATTTTATTCGATAAAGGGGGAGTATTCATATTTAAATTGCAGGATTTCTGTATTTTACTTTATTATATACCCACGAGTGCTGGTTTAGACTCACAAAACGTATCTAAGTGCAGTTATTAATATATACTGTTATTACACATAATTCACCGCATCTGCCGAGCTCTCACTTGTCTGCCCTAATCTTTCATCCCTCTCTCGGAGGTTTCTACGGGTATGACTTGTCTGTACTAAACGTTAAAGGCACCGACAGCAAATACCATTTGCAACAGAAGTTGTGGAACTGAGAGAGAGAGAGAGACAATTTAATATGTTAAATATTGTACTACTGTCAAACAGATTCTGAAATAATACTGATAATTAAATATGTGTACGTAGTATGACAAAATATTAGTATTCAATACAATATATATACACGTAGGTACGAGTATATTTTATTTCTGATAAATTTTAGTAAAGTGAATCATGTAAGATTTTAGGTTTTCTCGGCGGTGACCATGAAGGTAGCAGTCTTCTGGGATGTAGCGCCTTGTAGATATTGCATTAACCGACGTTTCGGAGGAACGTTAGTCTGCTGGTGCCTGCTCACTCTGGTTCTTCGCTTGTGGATTTTATTCTTTTTTTTCTACCCTGAAGATGGAGGCGATACGTTCCTCTGAAACGTCGGTTAACACAGTATCTACACGGCGCCACATCCCAGAAGACTGCTTTCTTCAAAACGAATCATGATTACATTTAATCTTGTAATCCTCCCGTCATTATCCATCGTCTGGACATTCCAGTGCCGCGCCGTTCTTAAAACTGGCTCTGTTTCCGGTTAAATTGTATGCTATGAAGACGTATGGGGGAGTGGAGGTATAGCTTCACGATTCTTGACCTCGACATTATATGGAAATGAGTGGTCAGCTTCACCCCGTTCGCATTATCCTCTGGGAAATCGCCCCCAGTATCCATTATATAGGAGGCTGGGTGGGCCCCAGAGCCGGTCTGGACGCTGCGGAGAAGGTAAAAATTTTACGCCGTCTGGAATTGAATCCCTGTCGTCCAGCTCGTAACCCGTCACTCTACCGGCTGAACTATCCAGACTCGTAGTTCTGTTTCCGTCTTGAAGGGGGTACCTGAGTTTAGTCGTCCGTTGAAAAGAATGGTTTCTGGTCCCGTTACAAGACTAGCCCTGCTTCAGTAGGGAGTGTAATGGAAGGGGTCCGTAGGAAGAATGGTGTCTGGTCCCGTTACTAGACTAGCC